GGCGGCCTTCTGGGCCTTTGACTTTACTTGAGGAGGCATCTGTTGATTGGGGCGAGACGAGTGGAAAGTTTATCGATTCAGAGAACAATGGCCGTGGTGGCGAGAAACAGACAATATTGAATTAGAAGTAATCGTTGACGAGTCAGAGAGCGCAAGGGGAAATAGTGCTTTCAGTCAGTACGGCCCCTTCTTCGCCTTGACCCGCTATCACGTCGATGTCACTCACGGTGTCTTTTGAAGGCTAAGGAAGAAAAAGACTGTAAAATTGGTCGATTGCGATAAAGTGTTTTAGCCATACGATGGCAATGCAGCGGAGAGAGCGAGAGAGTGGGGAGTGTGACAGTAGTGACAGTGTGACAGTGCCGGTGCAGTGAGCGAGAGGCAGCAGTACGGTGGGGGAATGAAAGAGAGTCGCTCGTGCACTGGTGCGCTAAGGAATACGGTGGTGCTTTGCAACATGCAAATGTTGAACGGAGTTTCGCGGAGATATAACAAGAGAAAGGGATGCCATCATTCCGTGGCAGAGACAGGCCACGTGAATGATGCATGAGATGCACGTGGGATCAAGTGGAGGTCAATCAACAATGATGTGATGTGTGGGTGGCAAGCTCGGCCAGAGATCAATCGACGGTGGTGCGATAATGAGGATGAGAACCGAGAGATACCTTAGCAAGGATGATGGATGCCCCTGATTGATCGAGGTCAAGCTTGTACTCCGTACCCTGTATATCGTGTATGGCGGACTCGTGTTCATCCCCCGTCTTCCGCCTTTCGTGCATCATAGACTGTGTACGTGGTGAATTCCGAATGTCGGAGTCCGGACTCTGTAGTCACACTCAAAGGATTCGCTTGCTGCAAGATGTCTAAACGCGCTCGGTCGCCCTCGCCTATGCCGAGGTCTTTTCTCAAAGCTGCAGAAAACAGCTTCAGCTCGAGCTCGATGTCAACTACACAAGCTCCTGCGAAGACGAGCGCTCGACATGGGGTGCCGAACATGCAACAATCACATCAGACCGAAGATGCGGTACGCTCTCGGGTTGTCGACGAGGATCGAACCGTCTATTCTGCGGACTCAGTACGAAGCCAGAGGGACAACACGAAGAGGAAGGATATATCCGACCTGTTCCCATTCCAAGAGATTTTTCTGCGCATTCTGTCATTTCTAAGTCCGAGCGAGCTGGCGCAGATACAACGGGTCAGCAAGTATTGGGGTCGGATGAGCGTTGATCCTCAGGTGAGTTTCACATTACATATCCCTTGCCCCATAGATTGATACTGTACACCAAAGGCCAATGTATGGTATGATATGGTATAGTGACAGTAATCGCTGAACGGATGTTATCATACCTTCGCTCATCTGCGCTTGCGCTTGCGCTTGCTTGATGACAGCTCTGGAAGAGGCTTTATCTCGGTAAGAACTTTCACCCATCAACCGATCTCCACCGAAATAAGGTATAATTATCTACATTCGGACCCAGATCGCTTACGCTCACGATGATCTCATTCTTGTAGCTCGATACCCTCATCCGCATCATTCCAGATTGCTATACACGTCGAAACCAGCTACCGAAGGCACTGCGGCGTGGGCAAGTCCTTCTTCGTCCTCCGTGTCGGCGGGCACACCCAGAACGCCGCGTCCGCTTCGTCCGATCGCTCGGCTGCCATCGAGGGCGTTCCCTCCGCCGTCACCTAAGCGATCACCATCGATTAGTGAGGGCACTCTGACGCCTACCCCTAGCAAAAGAGAAAGTGGAAGACACGGGGGTGTGGGACATGCCACGCCGCTACAGATAAGAGATGGGTTTTACAAGGATTCGACGGATGACAATATTAGAGGAAGAGGAGGAACAGGAGCGCCCTCGGAAGAAGTGGGTCATGGTGTCAGGAACGACGGCGTAGACTGGAAATTGATGTTACGGCTAGGTACGAATTGGTGGGTACTCTCCCAGTGTTGAAACCGCTCGGTTGTCCAAATAACACCTAACTCTTTCGCTCTCTTTTAGGTCGAATGGCAACGCTCTCTCTCAAAGCACCATCACCCTTCCGCCGTCACCATCCCCATCTCTGCCCGGCTCCACGGCTTCTGTCCCTTTTTTGGAGCTTCCGCCATCTGCCGGTCATAGGCACCACCACACGCCCGATCAAGGTCAGACGGAACAATTTATCGCTCTCTCACCCTCGTTCATCTTCATCTCCTCCCCACTTTCGCCCTTGGTGCGAGTTCACTCTGTGACCTCGCACTCAAATCCCACAGCTTCATCTCCAGTCAAACATTCGATACCGTTAGGTATAATCCCGCCTCCGCCTGGATGGTCCAATCCTCATCGTCCGGACAACGTAACCGCAATTGTGGCGGACCAGTCCGTTGTCACCACAGACGACACCGATCTCGCCAATCAACCGGGAGGATCACTTCCGGCCAGAATAGTTGTATTTTACCAGTCCGGCGGTTTTGTCTTGCTCACGATTTCTGCGCAAGGTGGTGCACTAAGCTCTGGTATTAAGTGGAAGCGAGAATCGATACATCCTCCTCATACCCGACCACACTCCATAAAACGGAGAGCTACAGCACATCAGCCGCTCGATGGTGACCCGGTGGTTTTAGCCGCTTTGCATTTTCCCGTCTTGATAAGCTGTACCCGGAATTTCCATCTGTCCGTGTACACATTCCCGGATTTGTCGTCAGACTCAGCGACAACTGCAGGTACCACCGCACCGAAGCATCTCAAAACCCTACATTCAGAAGTCTCGTTCCATCCTGCAGCACTTTCGCTTTTCCCTTCTCCGACTGCACAAGGTGATCCGTACGATCTTTCACCACGCCACTTGTCGCAAGAGCGAGACGAATCGGATCATTTCCGAGCAGCATTGACATACTGTACACCCCTGTATCCTTCTTCCTGGACGGTTGCCGTACAGGAGCTGTCGATCTCACAGAATCTCGGTGAAGTTCGAAGCGGCGATGCGTATCACGTCGGTCGATCAGGTGAGAACGGTGATACCGACGAGGACGAGACGATCGTATGGCCGAGGAAGATCAGACCGATAGTGGGTGTGAAAGGGAAAGCGACTGGAGTCGGCAGCGATGGGCGGTGGTGTGTCTTGTCTGGCGAAGAAAGCCAGATTCAAGTGTATTCACTGCCGCACCATTCTCGTCGTCATGATGACGCTATCACGAACGATGAGCTCGATGTGACCTACAGGAAGGGGCGAGTCCGAGACGAGGAAGATGTCAATCAACCGATCGTGCACTCGCAGACCTTGCTTGCGCATTCGACCGAGATCACATCCCTAGCTTTGTCTTCAGGAAGATGCGTTTCGGGAGGGAGAGACGGCCGGGTGCTGGTTTGGGAGCTGGACCAGGAGGTGGATGCGGACGAAACGGAACTTCAGATTGGAGGAAAGAATTTAGATGTTGCAGGTAGACTGGGGAGGACGGTCGGATACGTGGAAGTGAAAGCCGGTGGTCGACGATCGACGTGGAGAGGCGCAGCAGGACCCCAGCCTGCTGTTGCTGCTTATGCTGACGACGACTCATCCAGCGAGGCAGGAAATGACGAAGACGACACTATCCAGCACTTCTCAAACAACAAAGCCAACGGTCGAGGAAGGACATCTTTACCTCACCCTCAAGCCATCTCGTCAGCAGCCAGGAGTCTGTTCCTTCCGCGGCCTCCTACCAATTACGTTGAGTTCAGTCACTCGCGCCGAGACGGACATGGGTATGAAGACGTCAAGCCCGCTATCAGACATCTAGTATTCGACGAGGAGAAGATTGTAGGGCTGGTCAGAACCGGGTACGATACTGAGTCAACAGCGATAGGGAGCGCGAGCGCAACTGAGGCTGGGGCAGGGGAGGTGATGAAAGTATGGAATTTCAGCGGATAGTGCAGTGTTATCATCGTTGTCATCTTTTATAGTACATATCGTCTCCGGCAGACAATCTCTTTCACTTTTCATCTTTCTTGTTGTTGTAGCGGATTGCGATTGCATGCTTACTCACCATTAGATTTTGTGGAGGGCTCATTTTTGCTTCTTACAGGCTTGTTCTGAACGAATTGCTACCGTTGTACAGTATGGTTTTGGCTTTATCTCGCCTGCAGTGCTTACATGCCTGACCGTGAAGCAGGTAGTGCTCTCGAGGTCACTAAACGTTATATAATGTACAATGATATCGCATCGCGCAAGCTCCCCGCGGGTCAATCAATCGAGCTTCTCACGGTTCCAAAGTCCTGACTTTGAGGGCATGAAGGGGCAGCGAAAGGAACCGACCGCTCCGTCTTTCACAGCTGTAGTCGGCCGCTCGGCAGCGAAGCAGAGCAGGAGATCTGATTCGGCATCAATCATATTTTACATACAGCAACAAGAGGGAAGCAATCATATCCGCTCAGAACGGAAAGGAACCAAACGAACCATCCTTTGATCCCTTTTCGTGCCACAAATCTTGAATATCGTGCAGAAATGGGCTCATCACGACGAGAAGATACGCCCATACTCAGTCTGCACGAGGTCTTATGGGGGTCCACTCGCTAGGCTCACCTTGTCTCTTCACGCAACATCACCTCTTCTCGGCCCCTCCAACTTTGTGGACATCTTTCGGAGGGGGAGCCAAAGGATGTCTCAGTATCCATCAGTCAAGCAATCTCCGCCACACTGCTCAACTCGCATGGTGCACTTCCTCTTGCTTGTGCCTTAGCCAACAGATCGGCTCAACCTTCTTTCTTTCAATGCATCAATGCATCAATTCGGACGGTAGCATACTCTGTTGTCCGTCTCCGGGCGGAGCTTGGAGCTCGCTTCAAGTGCATGGTCCCATGTCTGACAAGGCGACCATCAGAGTGACGATGCAGTACCCACAGTCCTCCCTCACGCCCGCTGTATCGCTGGCGTGCTCTGTCCGCTCAGACGACCAAACAATAAGCATAGAAAAAAAGGATGGCCCCCGACGCGGACACTGTATAGGCATCAGGTGAGAAAGCAACAAAGTGCCGCAAACAAAATACGGCAGCCGTGGTTCGAACACGGGAAAGCTTTGAAGCTGTTGGCATACCTCTCTCCCTTGCCATCAAGGTCTGTTTGATGGGAAGACTCGCTCTTCACCTAAAGCCAATGGGTTTGACCTCTCCCCCACTGCCGTGTGTGATGGATTTGGTCCAATCTCTAGACTAGTATCGCTTGATCGAAATGCAGCTGCGCTTGAGTTTTGCCGCTATGAACCTGTTTGTGCTCAACTCGTGCAACAAAGCTTGGATCCGAAATCCTTGATGACACTTTAATAGCTATGCATTAGGTACTGTCTGTGATCGTCGGATCTCTGTATCCTCATCGTCCTCCACGATGCAGGCTTCTCAAAAACACTTGCCGTGTACGATATAGTACCACCCAATGGGTCATGAGCAATCTGAGACTGCAGACCCATTGAGATGTATGTCCGGATAGACGATTCAAGATTACAAGGTTGAATCTCCGACACTGTAGGACTGCCAAGCCGGAAGATCGCTCACTCTGTTGTATCAAGATTGTATCTCATCAGAAAACCGTTCCCGATGCCGTGAGGATAAACCAATACTTCGCAGCTGAGCTCCGGCTTGAGCTCAAGCTCGGCACGTGGAGATTGGGCCGCAACAATTGCAACCACTCGGCACCTCGACCATTTGATCGTTTCCGGAAAGCTCAAGAAAAAAAGAAAGGATCCGGCAGAGCTATATCGTTATGAACGAAAAGCGAAAGATAGATACATACACGCTAGACTAAAAGAAGAAGAAACACGTGAAGCAAGCTTCTCCACTGTCAGGTCCCACCAGTTATTCTCCTGATTTCCCAAGACGTACATCTTCCTTCAATCGAAGATGTCTGTCTGCTTCGCTATGTCATCTCAATGGCTTGGACTGGAGACCTAGCACTGGCCACCATGACATCCTCCCGACCGTCCCCATTTCGATAACCTCAAGCACATTTGCACCTAGTACTTGATGGTAGTCTCGAGCTTCTTGACCTCCTCCACACACTCTTCCAAGCTTGACTTGAGCTCGGCAAGATCCTCAGCCGATGCACCCTTGGATGCTGAACCGTCTTTGGGCGCCGATCGCTTGGCGGGAGTGGCACTGTAAGTATGAGTGAGGGAGTGAATACGAAATGCGGCATCAGTTTTTTTGAGCGTGTCCACAAGAGCAAGGGGTGACTGTATTGGGCAAATGGCAATATTTTTTGCCGGACATGGCACGATGCAGCAGACGTCGTCGTGACGAAAATGGTACACAGGTTATTCGAAGCGGGTACAAGTTGATATTGATAGACGAAGTGGGTGACAACGTAAAACGCAGCACTATCAACTCACCTGATGAGAACACATGAAGTAGCCCGCTTCGTTCCGGCGGCTTGGCCAAGCTCCTCCCTGTTAACAATACGCGACATCAGTAAGAGCGCTTTCGATACACATTTTTTGCGGTACCGAGGCTGAGGGCATGCCGTTGCTTTTCTTCCTCGTCACGCTGTCACACTCACTTGCTCAGCACCCAACAGTACTCAACACCAGCAGCCTCCTCAGCGAGCAAGGGCAAGTGACTGATCACATCGACGGGAGTGATATTGCTCGCGAGCAATAAGAGACCCTTCTCTCCCTTTCGAAGCGCCTTGACGACCTCCTTGACACCCCTCTTGAGCTGACGAGCCTTGGAAGCCCGCTTGACGGTCTTGAAGAGCTTCTTTGACAGCTTCTTGCCCGCTAATGGTGAGGCGATAGGCGAGATCGCGTCGAGGGGTACTGAGAATTCTCCCTATATTGGAGCGCAACAGAGTGCATTCGTCAATCAACGGGCTCTTCCCTCAATGCGAGTCGTCATTTGATGATCGACAAGGTTTGATTGCTAGGAAACTATCCGGCTGACAGATAGCGTGACATGTTCACCCTCACACACAAAACTCACCTTCTTGTCGTCAGCCTCAGCCTCTCCCTCGGCGCCCTCAGCAGCAGCGAGCGACTTTCGCTTCTCCTTCTTCTCCTTCTTTTGCTTCTTCAAAGCCTTGTCCCCATCAACCTCCATAGCGACGGCCTCGGCGCTGGCCGTACCCTCAGCAGCGGGGATGGGGGCAAGGTCGGCAGCCTCGGATTTTCGCTTCTTGTCCTTCTTCTCCTTCTTGGGGGTGGAAGTTGATTCGGGAGCCATTTTGAGGATCGCGCAGGATTTCGTTGATGTTTCGCTTAGGGGAACAAAAGGCTATCAATGACTGTTTCTTTTCTAATGCGTCTGAACAACCTCGAAATCTCTCTTCTTAGAGACGTCTCTTTACCTCTGGCCAGACTGAACCAAGGCTATCACAGTTGTGCAAAGCATCGAACAGATGGCCAGGCAAAGGAGAAATTGTGAAAGAATTACGACGGAATCTAATTGCGAAGTCATGACCACGTGCACGTGAAAACCGATAGAGAGATCACGTGACTTGCTTTCTCTCATCGAGGCCCCGCTCTGCAGACATCATTTAACCGAGCTAGCTGCGTGCTACTGCCTGATAAGCGGGCTGGGTTGAACGTCCACACAAAGCTCTCTTCATCCTTGCTCAACTTTCTCATCATCGAATCATCACAAGAGCATAAACCATCGTCAGAGCGAAGACCTCCACAATATGACAAACGTGAACATCCAGACTACTATCTCGCCTTACACCCAGCAACCGGTCTGCACAAGGCCGCTTCTCTCGGAGACAGAGCTTGACACCGTTATTGCCGAGAGTGTCAAAGCGCATAAGAGCTGGAAGAAGGTTCCTCTTGAGGAGAGAATCCAGGTCGCTCGAAAATGGCTTGTGAGTGCGAATTCCACACATCTTGCGAGCTCTCCATACCCTATGATGTGGTACACCAGTAAGGAAGCTAAGTGTCGGAAACGCGCGCTTCAGGCCGAATTTGAGAAGATCGGAGATGTCGCCGCTGAGGATATCTCAGTCCAGATGGGCAGGTGAGCTGCAGAGTAGGCGCTCAGCCGGAAAAGGAGGTACCCAAGCTGACAATACGTACATCTCCTAGACCCATCTCTCAGTGCACGGGAGAGATCAACGGTACCCTCTGGCGAGCGCGACACATGGTCGAAATCGCTGCTGAATGTCTCGCTCCCATCCCTCAAAGCAAACCACCTGTTGAAGGGGTCGAGAAGCTCATCGTCAAGCAGCCCCTTGGTGTAGTCCTGTACGATAATGTCTCAGCGATAGTGTGCTCATCCAAACGCACCGCTTAGGAAGCTGACAATGCACAATGTGTCTACTTGTGCCGAATGTCCCCCTCTCTTAGCTGCATCTCCCCCTGGAACTACCCTCATATGTGCCTCGTCAACTCGGTAGTCGCCTCTCTCATCTCAGGAAACGCCGTGATCCTCAAGCCCGCTCCTCAGACCCCTTCTCCCGCCGAACGTTGGGTTTCGACATGGCAGGCTGCCGGTCTACCCGTCAACGTATTGCAGGTCGTCCACTTGACGCAGGAAAGGACATTGGAGCAGCTCGTACAGGATCCGAGAATCGATTTCATCTCTTTTACCGGTAGCGTAGCCGGAGGTCGAGCTGTCCAAGAGGCCGCTTCGCGTGGCAAGGGATTCAAGGGTATCTGCCTCGAACTGGGTGGCAACGATCCCGCCTATGTCAGGCAGGATGTCAATGTCAAGTGGACAGCGGAACAGCTGGTCGATGGTAAGCTACTCTCTTCGTTCTATCTTGCATTCCGAAGCCAAGCTCATCAGAAACGATGAGTACAGGTGTCATGTACAACTCTGGGCAATCGTGTGCGGCTGTCGAGAGGATCTACGTCCACTCCTCCATCTTCGACGAGTTCGTCAAGGAGTTTGCAGAGGTCGCTAAGGGTTACAAGCTCGGTGACCCTTCCAACCCGGAGGTCAACATCGGCCCCGTTGTCAGTGTGGCTAGTGCCGCTCGGATCAGGAAGCAGGTCAAAGATGCTGGTATGTCAACTAGTCACTGATGGAGCTCTCCACATAGAAACGTGAGGGAAGCATTAGCTAATTGATTCATCTTTTATTGCCCAGTCGCTGCGGGTGCTCAGGTCATCGTGGACGAGTCTCATTTCCCCGAAGCGAAGGAAGGCACGGCCCTTGTAGGTCCTACAGTACTCACCAACGTGGACCACAGTGAGTTAGCGTCCTGGCGGTGTTCTATCATGCGCGATCAACTGATCCAGTGGTCCTTGCTACATTTGCGTTACAGGCATGGAGATCATGACTGAGGAATCGTTCGGTCCCGTTGTCGGTATCATGAAGGTCGAGAACGACGAAGAGGCTTTGCAATTGATGAACGACTCGGTGTACGGTTTGGTGAGTGGAATCTGAATTGCAAAGTATCTCCCCATACCCCACCCGTCAAAATACAAAATAACACTATCCACTTTTACCCGTCCTGTCTTGCATATCAGTGGTCTGCTTGGTAGACAATGGACATGTGCTGATGTCGGTACTGGTCAATTGCATTTCATGCATGCAGACTGCATCAGTATGGACCAACCCCTCATCGTCCAGCTCAATCGCAGCGTTCAACCACCTCGTTGAAGAGCTTGAATGCGGTACAGTCTACCTCAACAAATCCGATGCCCTTGACCCCTCTCTACCATGGAGTGGATGGAAGAATTCTGGCCATGGAGTCTCGTTATCGACCTTTGTGTACGACCATATTACGCATACCAAAGCTGTCATGAAGAAGGTTGACGTACCTGGCGGCGAGCCCGCTTCGGAGGAGCTGACCAAGGGGGAGTAAGCCTAGTCAGCTGGATAAGTAGACTAAGGGCGGTGGCGTGCAAGACCAGCAGAACTGGACTGAAGGGAGAGAAGCCGGGCATAGATAGGTCAGTTGCACATGATAGGCAATTTCTGATCACTCGGTAGATCGCAATCGAAACCGCTACTGCACAGCAAGCAATGCAACTGGAATCCGAGGGCATGACAGATTACTGCACCAGTATGGCAGCCGCATTGTATATCATCGGTTGGCAAAGTGACGAGATTGCTTCAGAAATCACAGCATGAGTACAATAATATACAACCATATACAGCCACAGCAAGTACTGACCAAGCAAGCAGAGATCTACGAGACGAGAGTGGGGGAAGGGGTGTCAAGGATCTCCGCAATCATAGCGCACATACCTAA